TCGTTTGAGCCCAGGAGTTGGAGGTTGCTGTGAGCGTGATGCCATGGCACTCTACCCAGGGGGATAGCTTGAGGCTCCATCTCAAAACAAAAAGAAATGTAGAGGTTAAAAGAATTGAAAGAAGTTGTTTTTAGGCCAAGAAGAACAGGCAAGGCATAGCACTGTTCGCTTCTGTGGTACTTTCTAAAACCTTGTAGTACTATTTAAAATACATACATTAATTTCACTTAAAACTTTTTTATTTTTCATTTATTTACTTATTTTTATTTATTTAATTTTTGTTTTGGAGACAGGGTCTCACTTTATTGTCCTTGGTAGAGTGCGATGGCTTCCTAGCTCACAGCAACCTCAAACTCTTGGGCTTAAGCGATTCTCTTACCTCAACCTCCCAAGTAGCTGGGACTACAGACGCCCACCACAACACCTGCCTATATTTAGAGACCCTTCTCACTCTTGCTCAGGCTGGTCTTGAACTTGTCAGCTCAGGCAATCCATCCACCTTGGCCTCCCAGAGTGCTAGGATTTCAGGCATGAGCCACCACACCTGGCCCTCACTTAAAACTTTTTTAAAAAGAAATGCTAGAATATCAGACAAGAATTGACATACTATGTACAGTCTCTTGAGGTGTTAGTAAGTCTAAATTAAAAGATCTATTTATAGCCTTAGAATATGGGAAGGGGGTGGGAGGCAGAGGTAAGGGGGACAGATGGGGGAGGGAGGGTGATTGGTGGGGTCACCTCTATGATTTATCTTACAAGGGTACAAGTGGATTTTTCTAAAAGCAGAGTATCAACATTTAAATCAATAACTAAGAAAATGACATGAAGGTTATGTTAACTAGTTTGATAAGAGTATTTCAAAATGTATATGAAAACAGCAGACTGTACTCCATGATTGCATTAATGTACACAGTTATACTTTAAGAAATAAAAAAAAGGGCAGCACCTGTGGGTCAATGGAGTAGGGTGCCGGCCCCATATGCCAGAGGTGGCAGGTTCAAACCCAGCCCCGGCCAAGAACTGCCAAAAAAAAAAAGATCTATCTATTGAGAGTGGAAAC